TACAAGTAATGTGATATTTATGTAAACTTCTAAATTATACTATTACATATCTACCCCTAATTTTTTCCTTTTTATTTTTATAGCACTCAAATTTCTCATCTGAAATTAAAAATATCACTTTTATTAATTTTTAAAATATAAAATTACATTTTTATGCCTAAATAAAAAAAATGATATTAATATAAAGTTTCTTAAAAAAAATTAATTAATTAAAAAACCTAATGATTTACATAATCATCGTCATCTAAACGTCATCTTCTTCTCCTCTGAACAATAGTTTCCCTTCCGTTAAAAAACTTTCATTTTAATGGCTTTTTTCCTACTTATGAGCAGATATACCCATTAATCCCCCCATCCCTGTTCTTCTCTCACTCTCTCTCTCTACAACCCCTTTTCTTGAACTGTAAAAAGCTTCCAAATTGTCACCACCGCAAAGAATTAAGAAGATGATATAAAGAAAATTTTGTATTTGATTTGGAAAAGCGATCTGCTTTCTTTGAAAAATCCATTATTTTGCTTCATATTCCTCTTTCTTCGCTGAAATTCTAGGGTTTTCCTTTCTTTCTGCGTTGAGAGGCGATGGCTGCGGTGGCGGAGAGCGCGATCGGCTCTGAAAACCAGTTGATGCACTGCAACCCGGCGACTTCTGAATCGGAATCGGAGTATCAGAATGATGTGAGGAAGCTGGTCGACCTTCTCTCTAAATTGAATCCATCTGCGAAGGAGTTCGTTCCTTCTTGGAGAAAATCGGATGGCCGATTATCTGCAGACGCGCCGCTCTTCGTCGGTTCGCCGGAGTATTATAACAGTAGAAATGAGTCCAATTATGGGAGTTGTAGTAAGGATTGGAGCAGTGATGGATCGTCCAACAATCAGCCGATGAATCGAAGGGTAGGGTTTAATTTTGATTAATTTTTTTTTAGGGCAAAGAATCTGATTTATGATGCCGTTTGATCCGTGTTTTCTCTGTTCAAATTAGTTTCTTTTGTTCTTTTCTGCTAAGAATTTTACTTAACAGCATCTGATTTGGGTATTGCAGCGTTTTGGGCAGAGGAGGAATGGTTATAATCAGGGGAGGAGGAGGATAAGCGATAGGGTTAGAAGAGCTGAAAGAGAGGAAAGCATAAAGAGAACTGTTTATGTTTCTGATATTGATCAAAATGTGAGAAATCAACGAATGTTCTTCTTCTTCTTTTCATTTTTGGTTTTTTTGCCTTCAAATTTCTTATCTTTGTTGTGAACAGATTACAGAAGAACAGCTTGCTGAATTGTTTTCCTACTGTGGTCAAGTAAGCGCTCGAACTTCAAATGTTTATACAGCTTCTGCAAGATCAAAATTATGTTTTTGTTTAGTTAAGGATCTTTGAGGAGTTTGGTTGTTATGGGCTTTGTGATTTAATTGAGAAATGCTTTTAGGTTTAGCAGGATTTGTTTTGTGAAGCAAAGCATAAGGAACCTATGTTGTCCTAAAGGCATGTTTTCATGTCGATCGCTTGGTTTCACCCATTCTTGTTTGTGTATACTAACTACCCGGCATTACTTGTTCTTGTAAGGTTCATGTTGCTATCATGTGTTAAAAATTTTTCAAGGCATTTACATACAACACAATTCTTTTGTATATAGATATCTTACAAATAAATTTTACTTTTTTACATTTATTCCACTGAAATTTTTTGTATCACATAAAAAATACCACAATTATAACGTTAAAAAAGTGAATACACCTTTTTCATGCATAGGTAAGGTAGTACATATATGTAAAAATTGAAGATTAGGTGTTAGAT